GTGTGGGCGCCCTGCCAGTATCCTAGTCCATCCTCGTCGGAGGTTAGGAAGTGGACGATAGACCTCTTCCCGTAAAACCTAGCCATGAGAGATAACAAGTCTATGGGGTATAAGCGCACAGCCCCTTTGACATAGAGAACGTGCGCCACAAATTGTCTCTGACGATGGTAGAACACCTCCGGGTGTTCAATTGTTTGCTACTGCCCGCCTAAAGCCAGGCAGCCGCTGGTCAAATCGGTGTAAATCCTCCACAACCCACCAGCGTCTGGCCGTGATCGCAGGTGTATCCTACTACGGTCGCAAAATATATATAAATAGTTCCAGTACCTGCAAGGCTGCGTGTGACGGCCTTCAAGCAGATCCCAATCTGTTTCTGAAATCACATTCCCGAGCTGGATCTGCTACTTACTACTTTGTGAGTCAAGCTAATAATCCAAATGCTCCGGGCGGAGTCCCTCAAGCATACCTCCAAACCACCCACTACCTTGTGAGTCAGCTTATTGAGCCAAAGTCTCCTGGTGGAGTCCCTTAAGAAAACCTCCGAAGCACAACGACCACCTCGCGTGCTATTGCCCACCAATGCAATCATATGCCTGCACCCAAAGCACTCAGCATTGGGTGCTGGAACGTGCGCACTCTACTATACCGGAACTCCAGTGAGCGCCCCGAGCGACGCATTGCACTGGTCGCGATGGAGCTGGCTTGCTACCACATCGATACTGCGGAGTTCATTGAGACCGGGCTCCCTGAGCAAGGTAACTTGCGTAAAGCAGGTGCTGGCTACACATTCTACTGGGTAGGCAATGCCATCTCAACACCACGTGAACATGGGGTCGGATTTGCAATAGCCGATCGTCTCAATGGCCAGCTGGTGAGTGAACCAACTGACATCAGCGCGTGACTGATGACTGTTCGCCTACGACTCGGAAGAGGTAAGTTTGCCACTTTTATAAGCACATACGGTCCGACCATGTGTTATCCTGATGACACGCGTGATCAATTCCACACTCAGCTATCCTCCGCGATACGGTCTATGCCGAGGAGTGACTGACTATTTCTGCTGGGTGATTTCAACCCGCGTGTTGGGCCGGATGCACCCGTGTAGACAGATGTTATCCTTTCGCATGACATTGGCTCAGGGTATGCGAACGGTGACAGGCTGCTCTCACTGTGTGCCACTCAGAGCCGTTCGATCACGAACACTCGATTTGCACTGAGTGCAAGCGATACAGCAAGTTGAACACACCCACGGAGTGGTCACGATCACCTGCTCGACTATGTCATCGTACGTCAGCGTGACATGAGTGAACTGCGCATGACACGTGTAATGCGTGGAGCTGACTACTGATCACAAATTGGCGCGGACCAAAATGTACATATATTTGCGTAAATCTAGGTATGGCATTGCTATCGTGAATCGGCGTAAATTTAACATTCTCCCTCGGTACTGTGACGAAATGTATCGAGCTGGAGAAGTTCGATGGCTGCACAACTGTGTGATGTGGACTGCATAGCCACAGTGGGCGAATCGTCGCACCACATTCGCAACCAGATGACAGCTGCTGCAGAGGCGTCCATCGAGCGCACAAACTGTAAGTGGCCCGATTGTTTTGATGGCAACAACTCGACGATTGGCTCATTGGCGTCGGGGAAGGATGCAGCATTTGTGCACATGTCGCAGACACTAGCAGCTTGGGAAGAGTAGTCAGTTTCGCAAACTTCGACGGGAACTGACCCGAGAGCTCCGCCGCATAAAATGTGCATGGTGGACGGTGAAGGCAAGGCGGTTGGAATGCTATCTTGAAGGTCGCCAACACAAGGAAGTCTTGGACTACTTGAGGGCGGTGTATGGATCGGGATTGGAGCCGCTAAGAACGCCGATCCATCGCCGTTCATGCTCTACCCGCACACAGACTGCAGAGGCATTATATCTGGCCAAAATCTTTGACTCTCTCTTAAACAACCGTTCAGAGATCGACTGGCCTACATTGAACGGCATGCAGCAGCACGATATGAAGTCGATTCTGGCGAACACACCGAAACTGGATGAGACGCAGACGTCACTTTCACAGCTGCGAAACGGTACGTTTACCGGGGCCGACGGGATCCCGCCTGAAGTATTGAAACACGGCGGACCCGTGATTTTGACTGCGCTGCTCCAATTGGTCCAACGCGTCTGGATTGGGGAGGGAATGTCTGCTACCGTGAAGGTTGCCATTGTGCTACTACTGTACAAGCATAAAGGGAGAAAGCAATGTTAGACGAATTGTCGTGGCATAAACTTGCTAGTTGTGTGGGCAAGGTGATTGCACCAATCCCGCTCATCCGCCTCATCAGTCAGGTGGTAGAACCTTAGGTGGCGGAAGAGCAGTGTGGATTCCGCTCCGGTCACAGCTCTATATATATGGTTTGGTGGCTGGTCATTTGCTGGAGAAGTGCAGAGAACGACGCCAGCCTTTGTACTCGCTTTTTGTCGATTTCACCAAGGCATTTGATACGGTGAACCGCGAGCCACTGTGGCTGATGTTGCATAAGTTTTGGTTGCCCGCGTAAATTTGTAAGTGTAATGGAATGTCTGCACATTGGTATGCGGACGAGGGTGTAACCGAATGGACCGACCTCGGATGAGTTTGTAGTTGTCACTGGGGTGAGGCAAGGCTGTGTCTCAGTTCCTGCCCTGTTTAATCTTTATCTTCATGCAATGATGTCTTCTGCTTTTGATATCGCTTGGGTTTACGGTGTTCATGTGGAGCACCGTATTGATGGTGTTTTGCTGAACATCTGTCGTTTTGGTGCGAGAACCCTAGGCTGTGAGACAACTATCCGTATGTTACTGTTTGCTGACGACTGTGCTTTGTTTGCACACAGCGCGGATGAGTTGCAGCACATGACTAGTGCTCTGGCTTCGACAGCCTCCCAATTCGGGCTCACTATCAACACAAGCAAAACTGGCTGTCTCTTTCAGCCTTCACCGGAGGTTCCATCTTCAATATTGCCGCGAATTAGCATTGGTGCTGATACCTTGAGAGTGTGATGTCGACTGACCAGCAGTTTCACATTGAGCTTCTTTTCCGCGTCTTAAAACAGCTTCGGCATATGATGAGTTTGAGTACCAAGTGTGGAACAACCATCAGCTTGCCGTTAGCACGAAGCTGCTGGTGTGCAAATTCATGGTGCTGTCCGTTCTTCTATACGGCATTGAAACCTAGACCATGTACCGGCGAGATGTGAGATATCTCGAGCGATTCCATCAACAGTGTTTGCGACGAATTTTGCGCATCGTTTGGGGTGACAGAGTCGCTGACACGGAGGTGTTGCACAGTGTAGTGCAGTGTAGTGCATACTTTTGCAGAGACATCTGAGGTAGCTCGATCATGTGTGGCGCAATGATTCGAGGAGTGTACCGAAGCAGTCAATATATGGTCAGCTGTGTGTTTGGAAGAGGCGTATGAGGAAACCGAAGTTTCCTTACCATCACATGATCCAAGTGAGTCTCTCACGTTCTAATCTTGATTGCAAGTTATGGTAATGGAAATCGGTTGATCGGCGTGCATGGCGCGATCTAATTACGAAGGCCCCTGCCGAGCGTCAAGAGAACTCCAACGTGAATGCAGAGTAGAAGTGGCCATTGAAGAAGCGATAGGCGCCGATGGATTTTACCTCATGGTACTTGGAACAGTAGCACCTGTCGTGGAGATTGCCTGAGTCAGGCAGGCCTAGTGACCCGTAAGCGAGGCCACTTGGGTCCACTACGGAAGCGACGACTGGTCATGCAGTGAGTGTAGACAGAAACGGCGCAGCGTTTGTAGGTCCGTTGCATTTGATTTACTAACCGCGTGCTTGCATGCTAAGTCTCTTAATTTCAGTTGCTTCTCTGAAATTTTTTCCTAGTGCTTCTTTTTATCTCACATTAATGTCTACATGAACTATCTATAATCTTGCAAATGTCGCTTAAATTACCTGTTGTTAACCTTGATAATATTTTTGCATTTGTGGCATTTTCTTAAGTATATCTTTTTTGATGACTTGAACTAATCGCGGAATTTTTCCTAACCAATTTATTTTATGCGCTCATTTAGTGAATCGTTATATTACTGTACCTATATGCATTATTTGCCTTATTTTATTTGATCTCGTCAATTAACTTGATTGGCTGTTGCTTGATATCTCCGGTGTGGTTGCGCCTGATGTGCATGTTCACTGGGTGTCTACTTGCTTTATTCCCATTACTTCGTACAAACTGGCTCCAGGAGACATTTGGTCGTTGCTGAATTGGACGGGGTGCATGGTCCTTGTGGCCGTGCTAGTCTCGACTGGTGATTCCATGAACTGAATGTGGAGCGGACTACGGTCCAGCCACCGACTTGTGTGCGATTAGTTCTTAAATACAGCGTACTTGTGTTCGCCTGTGAAGGAGTGTGGACCGGCTCCGTTGATGAAATCTGTCTCCCACCCGCATGCCTCCCGGTCTGATTCCTTCGGGTTTACATTGGGTATGGGTGTGTGCTTTGATCCGCGGGTGATGCATATATATATATATATATATATATATATATATATATATATATATACAAGGTCCCTTGCTTTCGATTCTTTTCATCTGACAACCTCCCAGTGAACTTTGTGGAACAGCCACAGTTATTTTGTTAGGATACAAGTTATTTCAAGTTTATAGTTTAGGTGCATGTAGCCTATTACTGGCAGACGTAGGTATATTTAGCACCTAACCCATAGACGTTTTGTCACTGGTGTCGGATCACTTCGTTTTGGCGAAAGTCTTTTTGCATCCGTTTGTTGTCCGTTAAGCAAATTGTAGTTACGTGTGTGAGTGTGAACCTACCACGTCTTGACGAATGACGCCCACTAATTGGTGCAGCCTTGTAAATTTATTCTTCACACACTTCTACTTACGCATTCCTAAAGCATCTCAGAGAGAAACAAGCGAGCTTGATTTGAGGACCTATCAAGCTTATGTCGTCACTTCGTCGTAATATGGTAATCTTCCTCTTACCACCACTCTCAATGCCGTTTGGTCCAAGCAACGAGCTTGACTGAAAACATCGATTTAGGATGCTTTACACTCCTGCGGCCTCGTATTTGCATGGTGCGTTCTTATACAAAGGCCGCGTTAGTTGTTATAAACCGTGACCTGGTATTGTATTGATCATATACTCGTGGAACAAAGTGCAATTTTGTGCTGTGCTGCTAGTGGTCATTGGTGTGTCTGCATACTCCCTCACCTCACTTTTAGAACACAGATTGCTCACAGCGTGTTGCCGCAGTGGTCGTTGGATAAGCGCAGCTCCAAATGAGTCATCCCGAAAGTCAAGAAAAACATTTTGTTGGCCCCTCATTAATGCATAGGGGAGGAAAGGCGGTAAGTATGCAGTGAATTTGTCGTGAATCAATGTTTTATCGTTCGCAGTAATTGCACAGCACACGTCAGTTTAACTAATTAGGCTAACTGAAACTAGCGATAAATTATGTGTAGTTAATGGCTAGAAACGTTGTTACTAACAGTTGTTATGTAAACTAGGCTATATTTGTCATGCGTAGATTAACCCCTCTGAGTGCAATTTTTTGATAGATCAAAAAAGAGTTCACCCAGAGCTTGAATTCTTATAAACTCCTTATTGCTGGATATTTTGAAAAGGGAATAATAACTGATAAAGTAAAACGTGTTTCGATTGGTATGGATCTTATTGCTTCCTGAGGTTGTCCATTGCACAATCACACTAAGTTCCCAATACATCCTGGTCTTCTGATTGCCGAATTTTCGCCCATAACCATTGGTACCTATAAAAATTAGATCGATTAGTGAGTGGAAAGTCTTGTGTCATCCGGCATCCTTATTAAGCATTGATTGTGAGAAACCTGTGGCTCTGGGTGTTAAGTGAGTAGAGTTACTATTGCGTGCAAACACGCTGCGAATCTGTATACTAACTACACAGCAAAGCCGACTTTCAAATTGTCGTTTAACCAAATTTGACTTCGATGTCTACTTAAGGGAACCTTCATTTTGAATCGATCTGAGTGCCTACTGAACTATTATTGAAAGGATGTCTATCTAATTACAATCGTTTCACCACCATGCAATGTGGCATCCTCAATGTGGTGGCATGCAGTGTGCAATTTTGATTAAACCTGTGCAACCAAATCGCAAGTAGCGACGAACAAACGAACAGCTGATTCGTTAACCCTAGCAGTCAGTATTCCGAAACATTTTAAGAACGTAAGTTGTTCACTGGTCTGACATTCGATACTCCTTAACAGTGAATCTCCGAGGCGGAAATAATGAAACGCTCCAGACGAAAACTGGATCAGTTACTTGGGGTGCAAATAGAGTGTATACTGATTTCCCTCAGCTAATTTGGTTGAAAAATGCTTAAACAGTTAATGTTTGAAGACCCCATAGTAGCAGCATCAATCATGGTACGGACAGTTAAAATGAAAACGAGTTGATATGAAGGCTTAGGCAGAAAGCTTATACAACCTTCAAATATACGGCCTTCAAATTAGCTGCTTCTGATTCTCTTTTGCGTATCATGATGTAGCATGTCTACGTGGATATCCATGGGTAAACTGATGGCTTATGCTCAGAACTTTCGTTTCGTCAACTTAAACCAGATTCTGGTTCCGAATAAACACGCATAGATCTTGTTGATATCTCTTTGTGGTACTGCGAGGGCGTCCACTGTCTTTATGTCAAGCCAGCTTTCGACCTCGTCTCCAAATATTAAGAAGTCTGATTGGAACACCCTTGCAAGGTCGTTGATGAAGACCAGTAATAATCCTGATCCCAATAGATCCTTCTCTTACACCATACTGGACTACAATTGATTCGGGAATGGATCTGCGGACTCCCACACTCAGCTGAGGTTAAAGTAAGAAGTTACTAATCCAACCGATCACATGGGCACTGATTCCATAGCTCCGAATTTTATGAAAATAATGCGGTGGTCCATGCAGTCGATTGCTTTAGAGTTGTCCAAGTATATTATGTCAACTCCTTGCCTGGCATTGACTGACTTGATCCTTCTTGCTCCGGCTAGTAAAACGTTTGTGGTGTAGTAAGACATCAGCGAAATCCATGCCGCTGTAACACTATGATATTGTTGCTCTCAGGGTATTCCATGAGTGCCTCTGCCATTGTACCTTCCATAACTTCGGATAACACTGGGAGTAGGGGATAGGAAAGCAGTTAGATGGCTCTGCACGATTTCCACTCTTAAAGTAGAACTGACAAGTCACTGTTTCCACATAGTGGAAACCTGCAGTGCCCCGTGACCTTGTCGAAGGAACTTGGGCCAACGGTTCGGCAAGGTTCTTGTCTGCTGCTTTTAATCTCTTCCGTCTGTTATCGTCCACAAGAGGAAAGCTGTGCAAGAGCAAAGACAGTAGGCTTTTCATCAAATTTGCAGCAGTGCAAATTACGTGGCTCATTCCTGAGGGGCGGGATGGCCTGTATCATGAATGATTGTGGTGACTATGCACGTTCGCAACTGCGGGTAAACTGTTGCCGCATCATGTGTAGTTACCGCCAGATTATGCACTATACGTAGAATTGGGATCCCTTGCTGCAGTCTCCGGAGCACGTGTATGTTACTACAGTGTCTTAGGATTAGTAGGGAATGTTGTCCTCTTGTTGTTTGAATTTCTCTTCGCGGAATAAATTGATAGTGATTTCGCTGAGTTATGTAGACATCTCAGGCCTGCCAACCCTGACAGGCTTTTAGGCGCACCAAGGCAAACCCATCAGAGCCATGCATTTTCTTGTCCCGCTCCTCAGGAAAGAATTCATTTGCTTCGGTTGCAAGACATTGGGCTCATACACTCACACACACTCATATCAGTACAGTGAACAGAGTGAGAAATTCCTTCCAGGAGACCTCAGGGTGCTGCCCGGCTAGGAAATTTCAGCTAGTTGCAGGGATGAGTTCAGACAGCGTAATTTACTGGGAGATGATGTGAACATCCTTTCTGTTTTCACACGCGGATTCCGCGTAACTGATGTAGCAAAACAGCAGAATCTCAGGATTTCTAAGGTCAAACTGTGCATCTATGTTTAGGTCATCGATCATTAATTCCTTTCTGGTGATCAAACGTTCGTGGGTAATTCTGAGTCTCATGTGATGGATGAGGTGGTTGTATAGCAGAAACTGGGCCATCACTACGTTCAAGTCCGCTTTGAATTGTCCGCTGAGAGAAGCCGGGACTTCAATTCTGGGCTAACTAAAGTCCCCCCACTAGAAGGACGTGATTGCATGGCTGTGCTCGGATTTGTCTTATAGCAGACGCCAGGCGGTGATCCATTTCCAGAGTGAACACTGAAAGACGGTAATTTATTACAAATAAGCACACATCGCCACGTTTCAAATACGGGCGGGTCCATAGAGGATCGACAAATTGCGTATCTGTATTGTCGATGACATCGATCGGTAACACAAAGCACTCCCCCTCTTCTGCTGAGTCGATCGTTTCGTAGGAGAGTCATGTCGGGCAAGGCTTTCTCGGCATCGGTGATCTCAGTATCCAGCCATGGTTCAGGTATCATGACGATACCCAAAGCAGTGAAAAGCTGAAGAGTATTAATCTTTGCTAATTTACTGAGAAGATCTGGAGCGTTGTTATACAAGCAGTCATGAATTTCAGAGGTCAGTAGGGTATTTGTAGCCGCAGCTTCTGGGTGGGGTTTTACTGGCATCTGTGGGGCCGTAGTCGGCGGCCCAGAGCAATTCCAGTTTGGCTGGTAGAGTTCTCGGCTTCAGTATTTGGCTAAAAACCTAAACATCCTTCAACCGACGGAGTGTTTTGACTGCAGCCCACTTTTGCGGTGCATGCTAACGGCGTCGCACACACAGGGCTACATTTTCAGTATTACCTCCTCGGTTTGTGACTTGGTGTCCGTCGACTTTAGAGGCAATGTGGATGGCAGCTTCTTGCACATCTGTGCTACCTTTTCATCACCCTTCTAGCCATGGATTTGGTTTACACCAAGGGTGCCACATTTTGTGAGGTAAAAATATGTCGGGCTATATTCAGTCTGACATTAAGATAATAACAAAAATACACATGTACGAAAAATGTCCAATCCTGAATTTACTATTTCACGATGACGTCGCCGACCAGTTGAAATGTTAGCGTGGACCGCAATTGGCCCGCGGACCAGACTTCGGACATCATAGGTTTACACTGTAACTTTTCTAACTCTTGAATCGCTCCCTTTGTAGTTAATCGATGATGGCAACCTAGAGACCGAATTGGCGGTCATATTTTTGAGTGCGAGAGCTTAGCAAATGAAGCTCCATTCATCTCAGTAACTCGTTTTGGCCTCTAGCTCGCTTGGAGTCTAAAGCTCGGGGACACCATTCGCAATAGCGATTTCATGTATTTTCGTTTACGGTAGTCACCCGAGTTTAATAGGTGTTTCTGGTGTTTACCCTATGAGACCCCTGAAAAAATGCAAATAGTGCATTGAGTTGTCCTGAGGAGAGTGGGTGACTGAAGCGTTGCTTGGATTATTCGTGGTTCACCATAGTAGGTCAAACTTGGAAAACGGATGAAGCGCTTATAACTGGATGGCTTTGTTTGAACTCCAGTTTATTGACAGATGGCATCCCACTGTTCCTGGTCGTCTAACAGTTTGCTTTTGACGGATTTCGCCGCGGTTTCAGGCACCTTTGAACATCTAACAGTGCGAGAATTATGATACTCTCTAGTGTTCTCCCTTTTGTAAGGGTGTGTGGCTACTTTCATTGGTAGGACAACAGGTGGCACACTAGGTCACTCGGTTGCATTGGTAGCCATACCCAATCCTAGTTTGACGGCGAGGGACGCTAAGGTGGATGGTATCTGTCATATCGTTGGCAACAATGGACGCCTATGCTGTTGTTCCCTCAGCAGTGTTGAATTTACGGCGAAGCTTTGGTGTAGTATTCTACCCAAGCAGATTAATTGAATCGAGCACTCGTACTTTGGCAGAAGTCAGCTTGCATGAGATGCCTAAATTTTGATCACGCTCCTCACCCCCGGATTGGTTGCTTGTTTACGAATGGGTGTTTTTGTAGTACACTTATAGATGCACTGATTCCTCTGGGTCCAAGGGAAGAGATCTTTTGGTAGTTGCTCGTTCTACAGTCTCCGTCAGTTTGTAACACTTCTGCATTAGTATGTATCTGCAGAGTGATATAGCCTTTAACTCTGTGCTGAACCAAACGGAGTGAGTCTTGTTATTTCGTTTATAACCTCGCTTAGACAAGGAGACAGCAATTAGGATGGAATTTTCCACTACGGGTAATGAATTCTATTGCAGTTCGTACATTTAAAAAACAGCCTGCACAATTAACGTTCAATTGTAATGCTTTGAACTTGGCTCAC